GTGTTGTAGGAGAAAAAAAAAGAAAAAAAAAAAGAAAAAAAAAAGGCGACCCGCATAAGTTTAGCTATAAAAATGTAAAGCTAAAATGTAAAGCTAAAATGTAAAGCTTTTTTTTTTTTTTAAGAAAGAAAAAAAAGATAAATCATACAAAAAGTTTAACGAAAAGAAGCTAAAAGAAATTTCTAAATTCCAAAATTGCCGAAATTAATTTGAAAATCTAAGATCTATTCTTTTTATTTAAAATAGTACTTAAAATAGTTCCTTTTTTTCTCTTTTTTTTTCTCCAATACAGAAAGAAAAAAAAACATCAATGATGCAAGAAGTTAAGCTAAAAAAAGCAGACCTATAATCTAAAAGAGATATAAGAAAGTACCTTGGGATCTTTCTCGTAATAATGCTGCTGGGTGCGAATCCATCGTGACACGAGATTGTCCTTGACGCTGTGGGCCAGGGCGAAATAATAATCGCGACTTGTGGCGACATTACGATCTTTTACCAAAGTATAGTGAAGATGCCGATTGAAGGTTTTCTTAAAGTTAGCGACATTCTCGACGTCAACAATACCGCGCACCGAAATTTGTTTTCTTTTTTCATGGTCGCTATTCGGCATTGACATAATGACTCAATTTAATTAGCTCGATTACTCGCGACTCGTGACACGTATCTCACACTCAACCAACACGGAGCGACTCGCCGAAAGCGAATGATGTATGCCGCTAGTTCGGATTCGGAAAGCGGTGGTCACCTTGCTCCAAGGTGACGCATGCGTACGAGCGAACGATGATGTACTCACGGCGGTAAAAGTTTAAATCAATTTCATTTCCCAGCAATATACGGAGTTAGCGTCACCACCAAAGAGGCCCGGGGATAATTGAAGAACGTTGATATTATCGACCGTTTTGACTGTATTGAAGATGTACTGAACGAAGGGAGAATAACGTTTATTTATTACTCTTATTATGACGGATTTAATTATAAATTAATAATTCCTTTTACAAACTATTAATTTAAAATTAAATCCGTCATAATAACAATAATAAATAAACGTTATCCTTCTTTTATTATGCTCAGTACAGTCAAAATGTTTTTCAATTATTCCCGGGCCCCCGGGGTTCCTTTGGTGGTGACGAAAATTTACCTACGGTTATCGGTCTTAATAGCATTTTTGATTCGCAGTACGTTTAAATCGATCAAAGATGTTATGAATTCGTATTTGATCAAAAATATGTAAGGAAACAAATGTATTAAGTAAAAAAAGTAAAGTAAATTAAGTTGTAAATTAACTAAATTAGTTTTCTCCTGGTTAGAGCTTTCTGCCCCTAGGTAAGCAGATTTTGTCAATTGAATAATGCAAATGTAGTTGATGTTAATCACATTGCAAATGCTGTTGCTGACATTTTATTAAATTTGTCTATATACTATTAATATTTTATTAATATGATTTTTATACTGCATGAAATTAAAATTAAATACATCAAGAATATTTATCATCTTGCTATTAGAAAAAATCCTTTATATTATGAATTCTTGAAAAAATAATTACAATCTAATTAAAATCTTAATTATATATCTAATTATTATTTATTCCAAATAATTCCAAAATAGGGACTGATGAATTCATTGGGAAAAATATGTTAGAGATACATGATATATAAATAGGATGACTAGATGTATTCTTCTGAAGAATCATGTACTCTTTTTGAATCAGAAAAAAAATACAGGTATTTTTAACCTTTTTCTTACTCTTTCTAATAAAACATATTCTTTGTAAACAAATAAAATCATAACCAATTCCTCAGCAAGCAGGATCTTGGTTATAATAAAAGGAATCAATATCAATTTTAATCAATATCAAGATATTTGATTATCAAATTACTATAGAGTATCGCTACATTGTAAGTTTGCTAAAAATAGTGGCACATAGTTGGTAATAAAAAATTACTTGAATTTATTTCATACATAGAAATTTAGCAATCAATATCCTGCTTGCCAAAAAATTGGCTACAATTCTATTTGTTTATTAATACTTGGCTTATGTCAATCATATCTATGACATTAAAGTGTTAAAAAATTAATTGTAAAATAAATAATTTTGCAAGATAATTCACATGTTAATAAAAGAAACATGTAAAACTGACTTTAGATTCCTCTCCCTTTCCTCATTTGATTGATTTATCCTGCATTCTTTTTCTAATCTTTCTAATTTTCTTTCTAATCTTTATATATATATATATATAAATGTTAAATGACAAAAACATAACAGTTGTTTTATTTAATATCATTTATTTATAAATTAATGCAGATGTAGATGCAATAATGAAAACGACAAGAAGCAATATGCATTACAATTCACATTCTTAACTATTTTGCCATCGGTCCCGATAAAAACACATGTTCTTGATAACTATGGATATAGATATTATGATATAAAGTTAGCATCTTTATCGTTCAATGTGTTCTATGCCTTGTATCATAAAGGATCAGTTTTTTTTTATAACTGTCCTCTCCATTCG